ATGGTTTCATCCAGTTCTATCCATTTGCCTGTGAATTTCAAGATTTCATTTTGTTCCTTTGTTTGTTTTTCTGATGAGTTGTACTACACTGTGTGAATGTACCACATTTTCTTTATCCATTCTTGAGTTGAGGGGCAAATAGGTTATTTCCAGGTTCTGGCTATTACAAATAACACTGCAATGAATATAGGGGAACAGATGTCCTTATTGTATGAATGTGCATCCTCTGGGTGTATGCCTAAGAGTGAAATTACTAGATTTTGAGATAGACAGAGTCCCATTTTCCTGAGAAATTGCCATACTGACTTCCCAAGTGGCTGAACAAGTTTGTACTCCCACCAGCAATGGAGGAGTGTTCCTCTTTATCCACATACTTTCTAGCACAAACTGTCATTAGTGTTTTTGATTTTAGCCATTCAGATGGTATGAGATGTTATCTCAGAGTTGTTTTGATTTGTATTTCCCTGATGGCTAATGTCTTTCAGCCATTTTAGATTCCTCTACTGATAGTTCTCTGTTTAATTGTGCACCCCACTTTTATAATTGGATTACTTAGTGTTTTGGTGACCAGTTTCTTGAGTTCTTTGTTTTTCTTTGGAAATCAATCCTCTGTCAGATGTGGGTTTGGTGAAAATATTTTCCCATTCTGTGGGATGCCTTTTTGTCTTGTTGACTCTGTTCTTTGCCTTCCAGAAGTTTCTCAGTTTCAGGAGGTTCCATTTATTAATTGTCAATCTTGGTGTCTGTGCTATTGGTGTTATGTTCAGGAAGCAGTCTCCTGTACCAATTCATTCAAGAGTAACTTAAACTTTCTCTTCCCCCACACTGGTTCAGTGTGGCCAGATTTTTGTTGAGATCTTTGATCCATTTGACCTAAAGTTTTCTGCATGACGATAGGTATGGATCTATCTGCAATCTTCTACATGTCAGCATCCAATTATACCAGCACCATGTGTTTAAGATGCTTTTATTCTCCTTGTATAAGTTTAGCTTCTTTAGATTCTCACAGATAAATACTGAGTTGAATTCCTGGAATTCAGGTGCAAAGAGGGAGGAGTAATGAGCAAAGGGGTCAAGACCAGACTAGAGAAACCCATAGAAACAGTTGACCTGAACAAGGTGGAGCCCATGAACTCCAGACTGATAGCTGGGAAACCAGCATTGGACTATGCCAGAGCCCTTGAATGTCAGTTTGGAGGTCTGGGCAACCTATGGGGCCTCTGGTATTCATCAGTATTCATCCTTAGTATATGAATGGACTTTGCAAGCCCACTCCACTTAGCCTAGACACATGGGGGAGAATCTGGGACCTGCTCTAAATGATATCCCAGACTTTGAGGATTCCCCCATGGAAGGCCTCACCCTCTCTGGAGAACAGAAAGGGGATGGCATAGGGAGTTTGTGGAGAGGGCAGGGGACGAGGGCAGTGAGAGGGAACTAGGATTGATGTGTAAAATAAGCTTGTTTCTAACTTCAATAAAAATATAAAATGAATAAAAATAATTCTAACTTCTTTGTCAAAAATCAGGTATTCATAGGTATGTGGATTAATATCAGGATTTTCAATTAGATTCTTTTGGTCTACCTGTCTGTTTTTGTGCCAATACCAAGCTGTTTTCATTACTATAGCTCTACAGTAGAGCTTGAAGTCAGGGAGGGTTATGACTCCAGAAGTTCCTTTATTGTATAAGATTGTTTTGGCTATTCTGCTTTTTTCCATATAAAGTTGAGTATTGTTCTTTCAAGTTCTGTGAATAATTGTTTTGGGATTTTGATGGGAATTGAATTTAATCTGTGGAAGTTTTTGGCAAGATTTCCATTTTTACTATGTTGATCCAATCTATCCAAGAGCATTTTATGGTATCTTCTTTAATTTCTTTCTTTGAAGACTGGAAGTTCTTGCTATACAGGTCTTCCACTTGCTTGGTTAATATTACCCCAAGGTATTTTATGTCGTTTGTTGCTATTGTGAAGGGTGATATTTCCCGGCTATCTTTCTCAGCCCATTTATTGCCTATATATACTAGAACTACTGAATTTTTTGAGTTAATCATGTATCCTGCCACTTTGCTGAAGGTGTTTATCAGTTGTAGTATTTCCCTGGTAGAATCTTTCTTGTCACTTATGTAAACTATCATATCATCCACAAATAGTGAAAGTTGGAATTCTTTCTTTCCAAGTTGTATCTTTTGTTGTCTTTTTGCTCTAGCTAGAACCACAATCACAATTTTAAAGAGATATGGAAAGAGTGGACAAACTTGTTTTGTTCCTGATTTTAGAGAAATCACATTGAGTTTCTTTCCATTTAGTTTGATATTGGCTGTTGGCTTGGTGTATATTGCCTTTATCATGCTACATATGACCCTGTTATTACTGATCTCTCCAAGACATTTATCATGAAGGGGTGTTGGATTTTATTCAAGGCTTTTTCACCATATAGTGAGATGATCATGACATTTTTCTTTTTATCATTTTTTATTTTAATTTTAAATAGCTTGTTTTACATGTCAATCCCAGTTCCCTCTCCCTCCCCTCCTCCCGCACTCCCCTTCCCCCCCTACCCTCCCACCCTATTGCCAAATCCTTCCACATAGGGGATATCTAGAGTCTGTCATTTTACTCTGGGTAGGGTCCAGGCACTCCCCTAAGAGTCCAGGCTGAGAGAGCATCCCTCTTTGTGCTATAGGCACACGAAGACTGTTTGTATTCCAGGGATAGACACTGATCCACAGCTCAGGGCCCCATAGGTTGCCCAGGCCTTCTCGCTGACACTCACATTTGGGGGGGTCCAGATCAGTCCCATGCTGGCCTCCCCACTGTCTGTCTGGGGTCCAAGAGCTCTCCCCTGTTCAGATCTTTTTAAGTTTGCTTATATGGTGGATTACATTGATGGGTTTTTGTATGTTGGACCATTCCTGCATCTCTGGGATGAAGCTCATTTGATCATGGTGGATGATTTTTCTGATTTGTATTTGGATTCTTATTTGTCAGTATTTTATTGAGTATTTTTGCATCAATGTTCATGAGTAGTTCTCTTTTTTAGTTCATATTTGTGTAGTTTTGGTACCAAGGTAATTTTTGCCTCATGAATAGTGTTTGGCATTTGTTCTGCTGAATTGCCTGTAATGAGAAACATATCTAGAAAAAAATCTAATTATCCACTAACTAGTAAAATATAAACAACAGAAAAAAACCTTTTGAGTAAATATGCACAATTAAATCTCCTATAGTAGCAAAATGCTTAAATTACAGTGATGAATTTCATGAATATATTGTTGAAGACTTCAAAAAATCAAGCCATAAAATTCATCAGAAGAATTTCTAATAAATTTATGATACACAAATGTATAATTTTATTTTTATATAATATTTACCTTTTATGAATATTACTGGAAATAAAGACAATACAAACAAAATCTAGGCTGTATTTACATCTGGAGTCAAGTTCTTTGCCTACATGAAATAATTGCTCTTTGCTGTATATACTGGTCATGTATATATAGCATTGCTTATAATTATTTTTTTCTCCTTTGGTCTTCTTTCTTCTATTGTATTATGACTATTCTTTTTAAATTACTTTTTGCCTTGCAATTAAAAACAATGTCCCAAATACACTATGTCAATAATAGAGGATAAAATAGAAGTATCTTTCTAGTAAGCAATAAGATTTCCATAAATAATTTAATGAATTTCTGTCATAAAGAGTGAAAATTAACCTATACATAATTGGTTTCAGAGATACCAAGAAGCACAAACTGTCAATTGAAACTATTCATAATTTGGATTATTGAAAAATCATAATTATTTTTGAACAAAATTTCATCTTTTTAAGAGTTTTGTTTTTTGTTCTCTAGAAAGACTTCTAGTATGATTTCCTTGTAATAGTTTGTCTCCTTTTCAGCTTGAATGTGTCGGCTTATATGTCTTTGTCTCTCTGTGTGTCTTTTTTCTGAGTATCTCTCTATCTCTGTATGTCTCTCTCTTTGAAGAAATGATGTAGTTTCTGAAATCTCCTTAATGAAAGAGAAGTGTTGGTCCCAGTGTTTCAAGATAATGAATATGTAATGCATAGCATAGTAACCAGCACACTTAACAATGCAGCAAATGTTAGATGTTAATGTGATAATTTACTGTTATCATTTTAAAAACCATCTAAGTACCTTTTAAATTCTTTCCAAGTGTGCTAATGACCTAATTTATCATCAGGACTTATTTGTGATTGTTTAGATTATTTTGTTGCCTATTTTCTTCTTAAAGATGAATATTGTATTTTAGTTTTGTGTTCTTAAAGCTTTCCAAGACTACTTAACAGATATCTTGGGAAATAGTCAAAATGCATTTAGTCATACATATATTGGAAGACTGAAGTGTACAACAAGTCATAGAATATGAATATGGTTGTGGTAATTATCGCCAAGATGTTTGTAGTTTATAATTGGAAAACAACAATGAAAAATATGGTCTATAGCTGGGCATTGGTGGTGCATGCCTTTAATCCCAGCACTCAGGAAGCAGAGGCAGGCAGATCTGTATGAGTTCGAGGCCAGCCTGGTCTACAGAGCGAGTTCCAGGACAGCCTCCAAAACAATACAGAGAAACCCTATCTTGAAAAAAAAAAACTCAAAAAAACAAAAAAACAAAAAGTGGTCTATCTGGCAAAACCACTGATATATAAATAAATCTGTTGTATGGAATGGGAAGAAAGGTTTCTGATTTGTAAAATTTCCTTGAATTATATAATAATTTAAATGCTTACAAGTTGTAACAAAATCACATTATATATTTTGAAAATATTATATATATGCTAATTTGTAGGCTTATGTACAATGGAATACAAATATAACTACACTAGTGACTGAAAAATGGAAGCCCTAAGAAAGAATTCTATTCAAATATTGATTTATTGCCAAACATGTATTTCTACAATTGAGAGAAAAGTAGCACTCCATGTAAAAGTTTTATGCATTGTGAAATATTATTAATGTTGTCTCTTTGCTCAGAAAATGTATTAGAAAAACTGATGAAAAGAGTCTTCAACCTGATGAGTCACACAACATAGCTTTGTATCTCAGACAAGCACGTGGCGGTCCTAGTATTTATGAAGAGCAAAGAGGTGCAATGAAGTTTACAGAGTTCTTAGCTATCTTAAAGAAACTGTGAGTATTCTTATCGGTACAATATGTGTCACTGAAGATTATTGTGACTAGTATTTTTAAAAGTTAGTTTTCAGTTGTTTGCAAACGAATGCATTATTCAGGAAAAGCAGAATGTCTGGAGACTGTTCCTAGATGACAAAACTTTCATGAACTCAGTTCTCATGCCATGCCATGGATATACTTCTATGTGACTGCTCATTTCAATTTTGAATTGTAAGAAAAACATGTGCTTGTAGTGATGTTAAGTAACAAGCTATGTTTGTGATTTCATTAGTTTTTAATTACTCAGTGGCCTTCCACAGAATTTAAACTGTCTTTTCCATCACAGAGCCTTTAAGCATGCTTAATTTTTATTACATTTCATTTCTTTGAATATATTGTCTTGCAGTTGAGACACAACTGTTTAGTAGTAGAAGGAAGAGAAATGGAGAGGGATGGAATACAGGGACAGGAAAGCAAATGAGGAGATTAAATACAATTGCATCATTTACCTCTTCTCTTTCTGTCCTCTAAATTTTCCCATATACCTCTATTAACTCTCTTTCAAAGTCATGGCCTCCTTCTTTTATTAATTACTGTTTCATACATATGTGTTTCTTTACTTATATAAGGAATATCTGAACTAGTTTCCACAGCAGTTCTCTAGGACAGCTGTGATGAGCTATTAGAACAATATATATGCTGAAATATGTTTTAGCTCTTCTATCCTTGCTGCTTGATACCAGCACATTTCTGTTTTGTTGTTGTTGTGTATCGTTATAAACTTAGTGGCTTAAATAATGTGCATATAATTTTTATGCATGTGTATTTCGCTTTTATTTTAATATCTTTAGGAGTCGTGTATCTGGTTTTCTTAATATGTCAAAGTTTCGACCAAAGTGTGCAGTGAGTTGTTAATTTCTGGAGCAAGAAACTCTCTTCCATCTTTAGGCTCTTGCTGGCAGGATCTTGAATTCCTTACAGTTGAAGAGTTGATACCTTCCCTTTCTTGTTAGCTCTCAGCAGTGACATCAGTTTTCGATAACCCCCATATCCTCACTATGTAGTTTTTTCATATTCTGCCTCTTAACATGAGTGTTTACCTTTTCAAAGTCAGAAAGGAGGAGTCTGCCCTACTTAAATTTTAATTCATTAATTTATTAATTACTGTTGTGGAGTGGTACGTGCCATGTAAAGGCCAGAGGACAGCTTGGTAGACTTGATTCACTCCATAGACCTTCTTCTTTTTTCCTTTTATAAAAATTAAATTAGAAACAAGCTTGCTTCACATGTCAATCCTAGCTCCCTCTCCCTTTCCCTCCCCTTCTTCCCTTCCTCCCCCACAAGCCCTACAGCCCCCCACCCAATCCCCATTCCATGCCCAGGGAAGGTAAGGCCCTCCACGGGGGATCTCCAGAGTATCATTTCATCCAGGGCCTAGGCCCTCACCCAGGAGTCCAGGCTGAGAGAGCATCCTTCATTGTGGGAGGTGTACCAAAGTCCATTTGTATGCAAGGGACAAATACTGATCTACAATCCAAGGCCCCATAGATTGCCTAGACCTCCTCATTGACACCAACATTCAGGGGGTCTGGATCAGTTCCAGGCTGGCCTTCCAGCCATCAGAGGTCCAAGAGCTCCTCTTGTTCCGGTCAGCTGTTTCTATGGATTTCACCAGCCCAGTCTTGAAACCTTTGCTCATGACTCCTCCCTCTATGTCACTGGGTTCCAGGAGTTCATTTCAGTGTTTAGCTGTGGGTATCTGCCTCTGCTTCCATCAATCACTGGATGAAGGTTCTAGAAAGACACGAAATGTAGTCGTCAAACTCATTAGTGGGGAGGAGCATTTAAGGTCGCCTTTCCACTATTGCTTAGTTTTCCAGTTGGCGTTATCCTTGGAAATCTCACTAGTTCCAGAACTATTCTCGTACCTATAATGACTCCCTCTATTATTGTATCTCTCATCTTGCTCTCTTCTATTCTTTCCCCAACTCAACCTTCCTGCTCTCCCATATCCTCCTCTCACCTCCTTTTGTCCCCCTCTCTATTTCTGGCTCCCTCTCCCCTCCTCTCATGTTTCCAATATGCTCAGGAGATCTTGCCTCATTCTCCTTGTCTGGGCTAACATGCATATCTTTATTAGGGTCCTTCCTAGTTTCCAGACTCTGTGGCAGGGGGATTGTAGGCTGACAGGCCCATGGTCCATTTCTAAAATCAATATATTAGTGAGTACATACCATGTTTGTCTTTTTGTTACTGGGTTACCTCACTCAGGATTGTTTCTTCTAGTGCCATCCATTTGACTTCAAATTTCAATATTACATTGTTTTTTTCTGCTGAATAGTACTCTGTTGTGTAAATGTGCCACACTTTCTCTATCCACTCTTTAGCTGAAGGGCATCTAGGTTGTTTCCAGGTTTTGGCTATTAAAAACTATGATATGAACATAGTAGAGAAGATGTCCTTGTTATATGAATGTGCATCATTTAGGTGTATGCCTAAAAGTGGATTTGCTGGATTGTGGTAGACTGATTCCCATTTTCCTGAGAAATCACCACATTGATTTCCAAAGTGGCTGTAGGAGCTGATACTCCCACCAGCAGTGGAGGAGTGTTCCCCTTTCTCCACATCCTCTCCAGCATAAACTGTCATTGGTGTTTTTGATTTTAGCCATTCTGACAGGAGTAAGATTGTATTTCAGAATTGTTTTGATTTGCATTTCTCTGATGGCTAGGGATGTTGAGCACTTTCTTAAGTGTCGCTCAGCCATTTTAGACTCCTCTATTGAGAACTCTCTGTTTAGTTTTCTACCCCACTTTTTAATTGGATCCTTTGGTATTTTTGAGACTTATGTCTTAAGTTCTTTATAAACTTTGGAGATCAGGCCTCTTTCAGATGTTGGGTTAGTGAATGTCTTATCCCATTCTGTGAGCTGCCTTTTTGTCTTGTTGACTGTGTCCTTTGCCTTCCAGAAGCTTCTCAGTTTCAGGAGATCCCATTTATTAATTATCTCAGTGTCTGTGCTACTATTGTTATGTTCAGACAGCAGGATCCTGTACTAGTTCATTCAAGGTTACCACTCCATGAACCTTTACATGGACTGTATTTTACTTGGAACACTGGTAGCCAGGCTTGCACAACAACTGCATTTACCTTATGAACCATCTCTGGGCCTGAGTCTGTGTTTCTTTTACTCTGTTAAAATAAAAAATTGCATGGCCCAATCCCATAAATGTTGCTGTATTCTAGTAGTTAAACTCAAGCTTCTGATTCTGATTCTACATTTAAACTCAAGACAAGTGGATGGATAGTTCATTTAATGGTGCTGGCTACATTTAGTAACATGGACATTTTCATGCTAATCACTTTTGAAATGGAGTTGGTTATCTTACATACAGAGAACAAAAGTAATTAAACTAAATTCTGTTTACTGGTGAATAAGTTGTCAGGTCTGCAAACTTTCTATTTATTTTTGAGTATCGAAACCACGGGTAGTTAGAATTGATCAGTTATTTTCATGATACAACTAGCTATCTTACATTCCCTAAAGTCCTTTGGTATCTTGTTTGAATTTTAATGAATGAAAACCAAATTTGTGTTATAATATATACTTTCAAAATAAATGTAAATATCCTTGGGGATATTAAGAATCTTTTGAATATTGATAACTTGATGTGATATTTGATCACGCTGATTTCATAACTTCTACCCCAAGTCTGTAGCTCTGAGTTTGGTAGTTATGAGGAAAGGTGGCTTTGGACATAAAAGTCATCAGCACATGAATATCATTGAGGCTGCACCACTCAGAACCTATGTTAGAACTAGAAGGTTCAAAATTGGAAGTTGATTGTCAAACGGACAATGTGCATAAGAGAGAGAAGGGAGGAAAGAAAAGTGTTTTGGGAGACTTTGTGTTAAAATATTTTAAGCATGTCAGATTGACTATAAATTCATTCTAGTTGGTAGTTAAGGTACTGAACTTTACATTAAGATCTGGTTCTTGTTAATTAAAACTACAGCAAACAAAAACAAGGATGAGGAAAATAGAAAAATGTTAGATATCCCCACAGTGGCAACATAAGTGCATACTGAAGACACTAAGAGCTTTACACCCATAGGTTTTCTCAAGATACAGTTTAGAATTGAGCCTTGACTCTTACTTTTGATTGGTGGTTAGTAGGAAGCAACCTTGCTGATTGCTTGTGTACCCATTCCTTAGGTAAACCTTAAAGGGATGGGCACTTTAAGATTCTGATTCTGATGAGTACTTTTACTGAGTTTAGGTATAATTGGCAAAGGTAAACAGTTCAAAAGGATTGAGCTGTGAACAATTTTGCTCTCCTAACAAACTTTGGAAATTATAGTTTCATCTACTTAAGAATGAATTCAGCATGAGCACTTGAGCTCTTTTTTAGCAATTTTTCCAACATTGGATTTTCAGGAATATATTATGTTTTACCTTCTGTGGTGCTTATATTCTTAAATATAAGTGAGAATGCACACTATGCAATATACATGACATTTGGTATTCCAGGCTTAGGAGAAAGTTAATGCAGTCTCAGGTGATAGAGTTTGATGGAAACAATGTGTGAAATTCTCTCTGAAGGGTGGCAGGATAAGATATTTTATGAAATAGTGTAGTAGCCCAATTATTGTCTCAGGTAAGTGTCCTCTGTGCTAGAAACACATGTGAAAGAATGGGTCTACAACATAGTTTGTAGCATAGTGACCTGAAAGAAGGTCACTTTTCCTGACAAGTACATAAGTGAGGAGGGCTAGGGAGAGTGAGGAGACCTCAGAAGGACTCAGCAACCAGACCATCAAGAAGTGGGTCATGGGCCGGGTGGTGCTGGCCCACGCCTTTAATCCCAGCACTCGGGAGGCAGGGGCAGGCAGATCTCTGTGAGTTCGAGGCCAGTCCGGTCTACAGAGCTTGTTCCAGGACAGCCTCCAAAGTCACAGAAAACCCTGTCTTGAAAAACCAAAAAAAAAAAAAAAAAAAAAAAGTGGGTCATCGACAG